GAAACTTAGAAAGAGAAACATCCACTTTAGCTGACGAGCTGCCTCAGATTTAATGCTGGCAAGCTCCAGTCGCATCACTACTCACAGAACATTGGAAAATTAGTGATGATAACTGAGCTTCCTATGTGTAGATAGACATATTGTAACTATTTGTGGGTAGTCTGAGTCATGAAAGTGTGGTAAGTCATTGCAAATAAGTTCAGTTTTGCTGAGTAAAGTCATAAATCCAGGGATTTCACTCAAACCTAATGGAAATAAGACATTAATACAAAATGGCTAATGGAAATTGTGTCAAACCTGTTCCGACTTCAGATGAGAAAGGTTTATATTGCAAAAGTTCAGAAGCAGGGTCACCAACCGAAAGAACATCACTGAAAACCAAGAAAAAGTAGCAGAGACTTTAAATAGCTTGGATGTCGGAGATGTGCTAGAGGACAGAAACATGGCTGATGTTATTCCACAGTTTAAGAATAGGGAGAGGGATAAATCAAGAAATTACAGGCTAACTAGATTAACATTGCTGGTGAGGAAGTTATTGGATCAGATAAATTCCCATTTGGGAAGGAATCAAGGAGAGCCAGCATGAATTTGTGAAAGACGAATTCTGTCTAAGTTGACTGAATTCTTTGATGAGGTAAAGGATGATTGGGGTTGCGTGGGACATGTTGCATATATGGACTTTTGAACCCATTGAATAAAGTGCCATGGAAGGAGCTTGTCAAGAGGATGAAGTCTGTAGAATTAAAAGAAAGTGGTAGACACAGAATTGTCTCACTGACAAGAAGCAAAGTATCATGTTAGAATAATATTATTCAGACTAGGAAATAGGTTTCCTCCAGAGTCAGATCTAGGTCATTTCAGGATCAAACCTCAGGTGTAGGAAGCAATATGGTCCAGTTTATAGGTGAATAGAAAAGCTGTCATAGACTGAATCAAAGCTGCAAAATCACAGGGAACCTGATTTAAACGCAGTGAAGTGCAATAGTGATTCATTTTGAAGAAAGGCAGCAAGCTATCAAAGTGATTCTTTTTGAGACTGAAGTCAGAACTTTGACAAAGTGCTGACTAAACTATTTCTGAGCTTTCTGTAAAGCACATGTTCCAATCTCTGAAAAATTTCAAGCTGTTCAATCAGAAACAGCTCAACATCCAGTCAGTTAGTAAAATGCCAGTGCACTTGCCGTGCTGCCCTTGGAAGGGCAGTCAGAACTGCAGGCTGGATGTCATGTACCGTATAAAATAGGTGCATTAGAAATTACATTCTCCGTGGCTTGAGGTGACTCAAAATCATTTTGTTTTAGCCGAAGTAATCACTGGGATGTTTATGCCCATAAAGTACGTGCAATTTTAGACAGTACTTTCGGGAAACATGCATTCGTCTGTCTCTTTTGAACCCTCATTCTATAACAGTGTTAACATTCAGAAGGGGCCGGCCAGAGTTTTCCCAGTCTATAAATGCTAGAAATTACAAATGCAGTTGGGAAACCTGCCCTTGCCAACTATATCTAGTAAAATTGTAAAGGCATACTAAAGTAGTATATTTAAGATCTTACAGCATTCACTCAACAGCTATTTTCAAGCTGCCCATGCAAGCCACACACTATTACTGCAATTTCCTACTGGGAGCTGTTGGGTTTATCACCTTTTAAAAATATTAAGACCACAAAACCTGCTTTCAAACAGCTGCCTGCCACTTGTTCAATTACTTAAACAAGGGCAACAAATCAGATTGGATACTGTGCACCCCTAATGCACAGCACATCAGTGATCTGCTTCACATATCAGATTGACTGATGTTGTCACACAGTAGACTGAGCCTGAGAATTACAAGTTAGGAGTGTGATGGTCTTTGCTGTAATGGGCAGTGTGGCAATTAACTGCAGGTTTTTGCAAATCGATGATATAACTCTCATTGTGCACTTAGTGATTTGATTCCTGCAAAGATGGCTTGCTAGGATGTATACTGGCAGATATGCCTGAACACTTCTACGTGATAAGTTAGGGGCTAAAAGTTTCCAGTGCAATGGGAACTGCTTTGCATGCATTTTCAACCTCAAACATCAAGAGGAATTCCCACCAAATTTCCATCTCCTGCAAGCTGATGATACATGGAACATAATAATAGAGATCTACTCATAGATCTGCATTTCCCAAACACCATTCACTTATTCCACAGTGGCCCAAACTAAATGGAAAATCTACCAAAAACAACACCTTGAACATTTCCTTCATTTAAATATTGTCGCTCAGTGAAAAATTCAAGACCTAAACAGCATGAGTGAAATCTAGAGGATCCTGAATGAGACTTTTTAAATTAAAAAAAAATGCAGATGCAAGGGCTGAATGAAATACATTTGGAGTAAGTTAAACATTTTTACATCAAATCAACTGAGTTTCTGACCAAATCAAATTTCAGTTCTTTCCCATCGCTTAACTCTTTTTAAGTGCCACCATTTGCAAGGAGCTTTCTCCAGTTTCAAAGTCAAAACTTTGGGTTTCCAATAAAGATCTTGTCAACAGACTCTTATTTTCATGAGGATGGACCTTTGGTCTGAGATGCATTTCCAAATCGGTTTTCAGGAATGCCCAACCCAGCTCAGTTAATGAGGTGAGGAACTGGAGAAAGACTTGGGATTGATGTCTCTACAAATGCACAAATTACTGATGATTTGAAGAGAATTTCCCCAGGATATGGACTTGAGGTTATAAACTGGGGGTTACTAGGTCCAGTTTATTGCAGGGCATGTAAGCTTTCTGAGTCTGAAGAGAAGGCACAGCAAAGAAATCAGAACCAAAGTAATTTCATTTTCAAGACAATCCTGACTGAATTGCACATAAAACCCTAAACACTCAACTTCCAAAACATTCCCAAGTTGCTAGGTTGGTAGCATGAGACCTTTTGGCTAACAGCAGTTAGTTCAAGTCCAGAGGCTTAAAAATCTTATGCTCATTAAAAAATAAACAGCTTCAATGCAGCAACTGTTGAACATGGGGAGACAGAAGAAGCGTTCCACAGCAGCATCAAATTGTAAGCTCGAAACTAAATTAAACTGGCAAATCATATTCCAAATCAACTGTTAATTTAAATATCTTGGCAGGTGGCACAAACCAACTCATCTCCCTCAGTTCAACTCCCGACCCACATCATGACCCCATGACTCGTAGACAAGAGGTGTTCAAGTATCATTGAAAGTTTGTTATTCCTAGACAGAAACATTCCTTTTGAAACAGCAACTCTTTGTGAAACAAGGAGGACACTTTGACTGCACATTTGATCAGAAATAATATATTACAGAACTACCATCCATTATTACAAATATATAACAGACCTTACAATACAGAGTCCTTGATCCAATTAACGGGCATTTGAACTATTGTATCTGTCAGTTCAAACTTTCAATACCATAACACCCATGTAATGTACAGACTTTCTTCAATGAGAAATTTCTATCACTTTAGTTTTTACTCATCAGGGAATAAAGACATGCTAACATTTTGTTTAGAGCTTTACAGGTTACTAAGGCATGCAAAATTCTTTTGCCTATCACACAGTTCTTTCAGTATAAGTGAGCCGAGGAATATGTCTTTGAAATCCTCAGATCTCAAAGGAAGAATGTAAAGTTACTCAATAACTGATAGGACTGAATGTCTTCCATATTTTATGTATTGTCCCTTTCAAGACTTTCAATGTTTGTGATTTTTTAAACAATCTATTGATTAGATCCAATGCTGATTCATTGTTCTCACAATCTTGTGAAGATTCATTCAGTTCACATTATTTGGTTGTGATTCAGTGAGTTAGAGGGCACATGAAATAAAAAAAATGCACAAACTGAACATTCAACCTCAATAAATGTTGCTTCAAATTTCATCAAGTTAGTTTGCAATTTGCGCTACTTTAAAAATCAGAAGTTTTCATCCACTCATTTCATTCAGCTGTGTAGCAAAATGGTTTTTATCACTGTTACCATATTTTATATGTTTTGGGACATAATCCCCACGGGTTCTACACAGAGGGTGATAAGCAGATTTGTTCAGAATGCTGCTTGCAGTACATTGAGTAGCAATAGACTGGAAAGTGGTTGAAGATGCTCCACTGCATAAGAACAATTCTGAAATTCCATTGTGTGCTTCAGCCGGGTAATTTTGAAGACAGAGTTCTGACAGTTATAATTAAAGTTTACATTTGGAAATCCATAATCCCGCACAAGTTTCAGAAGATCCCACCACATATTAGATATATCAAGGAGTGTCATGCCCTTTGTAAAACAGTGAAATCGAATCATATGCTTCAGAATGTAGTTTGCTAATAAACCCCAGTACACTCTCGTCAAGTTCCTGAGAGTTGCACCACAAATTCAGAAGCCAACCGCACCAGAGGCTTGAAGCTGACTCGGACTCCAGTGAAGAGGGGCAGAATCATCAAAACAAATAGATATTGAGGATCGCATGCTGAAATTCTGATATGACAAATGTAAGATGTGTATAGAACAGAACCAGACTGATCATAAAAAGGACATATTCAGGGAATAAAGAGAAAAAATATGAATAGATTAGTGGCTAATATGAACTAACCTAGAATCTTGTACAAACATATGTAACAAAACAGCAATTGATGCTAGATCAATTGTTGATGTTAAATTTGAAACTGATAGGTTTTTATTCCTGAAAATATGAAAAGACGTGGGGCAAAGATGGGTTTATGGAGTTGCTAATCATCCCTGGTCTCTTTGAATGGCAGAACAAGTGAAATGGCTTCCCCCTCTTAACAGCTTTCCCTTTAAATACCTGTTCACAATTGATTCTGATGAATGTGGAAATGTGTTCAAAATGAAGAACTCCATCGTTCTTAAACTTCAATAATGCAACATTTTGTGCAAATTTGCCTTCATTTGCACAATTTTAGGGATGCTATTACTGATATTTTGGTCATTCTTTTGTTCTCGAACCTCAGCATAGCAAGCGAATCAACAGTATTGCAACTTGAATGAAGAAACTACCTGTGGCAGGAGCAGGGCAGCAAGAATTCCCACTGTGATGCCAATGTTATCCATGAACCACAGATTGATCGCATCGACACAGCCTCGAGCGTGGATGATTCCATCAACCTCGGAACGCTGCATATCAAACCACAAAAAAAAGATCAGCAGCATGTACAATGATTTCTCCTTTATATATACATTGCTGAACCTGACCTCAACCCACCAAATCTTGGGGCTTAAAGTTCATTCCTGCATGTCTCACAGAGAGGATTCTGCAAGCAGATTCGTTGGAAGTTTCTTGCCCACTCACATGATGTGTGCCCTGTAATGGTTGCAGACTAGAAATGATTTTCAGTATGTCTATGCTTTAAAGTCTGAGAAAACATTGTGGGCTGCTGTCAGCAGGATAAGGTGAGTGCATTTCCTTTGTCGCTGACAGCAAAATCCATTATCCATTTGACTTACTCCTAACCCTGCTGCACTCCATCATATTCAGCTAATTCACCTTTTGTAAAGGGCAGAAGTAATTATGACTGTTGCATACGGAATGGAAATTCAGTGACTACCGAAAGATCAGTCTGCCACAGAATGAGAACAAAATCTGAACAAATTTAGACAAACCTTTTCCTTTTATTGCCACTCAAATCAAAGCAAAAAACTGTAACTGTGTAATAATGTGGTACAGCCACATACAGCAAGCAAACACACCCGCGGAGATACATAAAGGCATGCACAAATATACACGGCTACATCCATATACGAGCAAACAGACAGACACAGACACACACAGAGACGAAGACAGACACACGTGCACATAGATGGACAGTCGCACACACACACACACACACACACACACACACACACACGCACACACACACACACACACACACACACACAGAGCAAACAATTAGACCCATACCCACACTTACAGATGTATTGATATGCATGCATGCAAAGTGACAGACAAAGCCATTTTGGATCTGTGAAATTTAGCACAGGTCCACATTTCCAAGAACAAGTGATTGGTAATTCCTCTGAACAGTTAGGGTGATGCTCAAAGCTGACCACCAGGTTTCTGTGGAAACATTGATCTTGTTCGCTTCTAATAAAGACCAGACAGACTGCTTTCAGCTGCTTGAAACTGAAACCTATCTAATTGCCATCACTTTTTCATCTGTTTCAGCAGGGGGCTTCCAGGTGTAACTCAGATCACTTTTCATCTCAATTACAGCAACTAGCAGACTGCAAATTATTGCAACTGTGTCACTGAGGCCTCAGTTGTGTGGAACCTCTGTTTGAGATGTGCCACTTTAATCCAGGAGTCAATTTCACCGATAGTGTGGCATCATTTGCTGGTCTGAAGGAAACGTGCTGCTCAATCCTTTGACTTCATTTTGTCTCCTGTCATTGTATTCCTTGCTTCAGCTCAGCTGCTCTTCAAAAATTACTCATTTAACTTCTCTCTCCCTGGAGCCTCTAGTCTCCCGAAATTGTCTCGTTCAACCATGGTGCAGAATGTAGCCTTTTCTCACCCGCTCTCCTTCAGCAAGATCTTCACTGGGAATGTTTTAAAATCCATCTGAGAAGACAGAGGATTTACTGTGCCAATGGTAGACAGGCACCTTCAACAATGTAGCATCAGCACCACTCTGGAGATCAGGCTCTGATTACTTTCTTCAGGTTCTGTTTTGGGGCTTGAACCTATAACCTTCTGTTTCAGTGATAGAAGTGCTATCATTTGAGCTGAACATGGTACCTCAAGGTTCACAGCCTTCTGCTCTCATGTCAACTCCTGTAACTAACAAGCAACGCTATGAAACAAATAAAAATTCCTGTTGTCCATTTGTGCAGTAAACCCACAGGAAATCGCCCAGTACTCACCCTGTAGAGACAGAGTTTAAGGAACTTGTTGATGAACCTCTGAGGGAAGTCGCTGTGACCGGCAGTCATGTTCTGCAAAGAATTCAGACCCCATACAGCAGAGAGCATGCTGCTCTGTCACTTAACACCATGTACAGAGTATGAATGAACATTTTCTAACAGCAACCTAGAAATGTGGCCTGAGAGCTATCATGAAGGATCCATATTAGAACCCGAATCCAGTTGAATGTGTAGTTCCCAAATCGGTCAAATATTTTCATTACTGTCATGTTTCTACATGAAAAATAAATTATTAGGGGCCCTAAAATCACATGTGATGTGTGTTCAAAGGTGCTGAAGCTGTGAGAAACAAGTCCAGCAGGAATTTTGTGGCTTGAAGCTGAATGCTGCCTCTGACCAGGACTCTCCCCTGGTAACTTTGTTTCTGAAAAAAACAGAGCAGTGAATTGAGCAATGCGGTGATCAGAAAAACAATTCAACCCTGAAGAAATCCAGTAGGATCTTCAAAACACAGTTTATTCCTTTTCAAAACAGCTGGAACTCCCAGGTCCAGGAAACAAATTAAATCAAAGAAGTATGACAATGTTGCTGTCATTTCATACAAGCTTGAAAAATAACATTTGGAACTACAATGGATATCAGGCAATAGGCTTCTGCTCTCAAATACAGTTAAACAAGAATTTTTGATGTCAGCGTTGCATCAAATACAAGAAACCGTTAAACTGCAGTCCAATGTGTTCATGCTTTTTCCATTTCATGGGGACCCTTGGTATGTTGGTCTCTGGGCTTCACACTGGGACACTGCTACAATCCACTCAAATTGAGTGATGCGTTTCTGACCCAGCTCTTGACGAATGATAAATGGTGCTGTAAACCTAATGTCACTAACAATGATGAAACTGCTGCACGCCATTGATGGGTGTACTCTTACAAAGGATTCACTTTTAATTTTTCCTGAGGACTTGAGTCTTGAAGGATTCTGGATAATTGAAACTGTGGATAACCTGGATTTACATTCAAAGGCACATTGGAACTTTTTACACAAGACACTTTTGAAAAATCATTTAACTTCAGCTAACTGCTTGAACTGATTTCTGAGAAATCACCTCCCTGGGTTTCATGGCTGCTGTGTTTGGATATTGTTTTGGATATCACCTGGAAAAGATCTGCTGAGGAAAAGGCTGCCCAGCTCGTCTCTCGACCTTTCTCAAATCTGCTTGTCCTCATGTGGAGTGTCTGGAAGACTTCTCAGTTTTATGTTTTGTGAGCCAGGTGCATCCACCAAGACCCCAGAGATAGCTACACATTGTCTGGTGGCAAGAAAGCCAGATCAACAGTCATCTGTACATCCCACACATACACTTTTTGCCCCCAAAAGCTAACCATTTTGACCAGGAGTGTTATTTTTTCCCCCAGTTGAAAGTCTGCAGAGAGAAATCCAGTTTGTCTTCCTTTGTCTGTATGTATGTGTTTTGGGTTGTTTAAAGGGGTAAACATTTATACTTTCATATTACAAACTTTTGTGTTAGCCAGACTTGCATCTTCATTGAATAAGTAATATTATATAAATTTTATAATACATCAATAATTTTGCATTTACTTAGAAGCTGGTTGATGAATCTTTTTTATTCTAAGTTTAAACCAGATTAAGCATATAACAGGACACATTGGGAACTGAGGAAAACAATTACATTTCTGTTGTGACCTGTGGAATAGTGGGACCAGAGAGAGAGAGATGGAGACAGTGTATTCCTCCCAGCTTGATTTAACAGTATGAAGCTGCAGAATAATCCACAGCTAACAATCAGAGAATGATACAACACCAAATGAAGCCATTCATCTCATCCAGAGATAGTAAGAACTGAATGTGTGTCCTGACTCTTTGAAAGGACTGTTAAAATAGTTACATTCCTTCTTGACCTTTCCTTAGAGCCTTGCAGGCATATTTTTCTCCCTTTTCAAATGTAGATTTGATTCATTTTTGAAAGTCACTGCTGAATTTTCTTCCATCATCACTTGAGACTGTGATTTTTTTGATCTGGAATGTAAAAAGTCATCTTTCATCCTCCACTGATTCTTCACCACTGACCAGCTGTGACCTCTGCTTAATGACTCTTCTGCCATTGGAAATAGTTTCTCCCCACTTATCCAAAAGCATTCAGGATTTTAAAAATCTCTCTAATTTGTCCTTAATGTTTTTTCTATCCAAGGAGACAAACCCCAGTTTCACCAGTCTCTCCATGCTACTGCAATCTGTCTTGCCTGGGACCACACCAGTAAATCTCTTCTTCATTATCTCTGAGCCCTCGATATATTTCCTAAAATGTGGTGCGTAGAATTGGACACAGTGTTCTCGTTAAGTCCAACCAGGGTTACAGAAATGTTTTGCTTCTTTGCCTTTCCTGTAACTAGGGAGCAGAATGCAGGCAATGCCTGTTAGGTGAGCTGTCTACCCAAGTATGTTGCACCATCTCAGCACCTTCACAGTCAGCCATGTCAAGACTGGGAAGTGGCAATGTAATCACTCATACAACATCAAGTGGTTCAGTTCTTTAGATCCTCATGGGAAATCTGCTGAATTCTAAGATCAATGATTAAGGGATTAGGAAAGAGAACAACTGTTATCCAGAAGCTCAGCCTTGTAAGATTCAGACGGGAGAAAATGCTGGCAAGCGAAGTTACTGAGCACAATAGCCGCCAGAACTTAATTCCCAAAAAAAGGACAGACGTTTGAAATAAAAATCAATACAAAACTACGCCATTGGCATCTGGATATCAAAAAGACAAATTTGGGTTTAAGGCGTTGCTCACCTCTAGATGCAGTGTCTGGTATCCACATTGAGTGTTGATGACATCTCTCTAAAGGAAAGAATACAAAGTGTCAGCAACAAATTATTAATTGGCAACTATCGCTTCATGTCAGACATTGGCCACTCATCTCCCTGTAATGAGACAGATAAATGGGTGAGGACTTTACTCATCATTAATCGATCAGCATAGAACAACAACAGCAGCTTATGTTTCAATAGCTTTAATGCAAGAAAATATCCCATCAGCTTTATAGCAACATTACAAAACAAAATACTAAACCAGGCAAGATAAGAAGGCACAAGGTCAAACGACCAATGGTGTGCTCAGAGTAGGTGCGTGTTTGCAAGGAGTGAGATAGGAAGTGAAATGGAGTTGTGTAGGGACAGTACTCCAGAGCTTAGGGTCTAGGCAGCTGGGGTCAAAGTCACCAATGGCAGATCAATTCAAATCAGGAATGTTCTAGAAGACAGCATTAGAGGAGCCCAGAAATCTCAGTGGCTTTCTCATTGGGGCAGATTCTAAAGATAGGGAAGGAGTGAAGTCATGGAGGGGTTTATGAACAAGGAAGAAATTCGTAAACTAGAGGCTTTGCTTAACTTCAAGCCAATGGGGGACATGAGCATAGCGGTGATGGATGAAAAGGACTTGTTGCAAGGAAAAACACGGGCAGCAGAGTTTTGGAAAGCCACTCATTATTGCAGATAGAATGCAGGAGAGTGGTCACAAGTGCACTGAAACAGCTGAGTCTGGAGCTAACAAAGGGATCGATAAATGTTTCAGTCACACAGAACTTGTCAGAAAAGTCATGATCTTTAGTTATTCCTGATGGCCGACATTTTAACTGCATTCTAAAACCAAGCAACTTTAAATTGGAATAAAACCCCTTTCAGTCTTCAATCAAGATCAATGTTAGCTTCAGTTCAGTGAATGGCTATTGATTCAGATCCCCAGAAACTGCACTGATTGATTATGGTAGTAAGATGCTTCTTGCGTGCTGCCTATTCATTTGTAGACTTTATCAGACTCCCCTCATCAGAGGGGGCAGGATCAGAAGACCACAGGAAGTGCTCACAAAGTGGTTACATTACTCCTTGGCTGATGAACCACCCCTGTGATCCTGTGCGAGCTTGGAGTGGAGTGTTCCTCAAGGCCCAGAGGTGCAAAAACATTGAACAGACAGTCACCTTAACGTCAGCAAAAGTTGAGAGCTGAACCCAGTGCTCCCTGCAACTATTACTCAGTCCATCGTTTGGGCTTCCTCCATTGGGAACTCGTTAGCTACATGGGCCTATTACCAGCAATAAATCACAATAAAGGATTCTTCTGTCTGTCAACCCTAGCTATTAGGTTTCCAAGGAGACAACAGAATGGCTCAACAATTTCATTTTTGATTCCTTTATTAAAAGACTGTAAAAATTGGTTTTCCTTAACACTTGGTATGTTATTTTGTGAACAGTGAGTGTATTTCTTTTGTTCAGATATCAGAAAACAACCACAAAAAACAGAAGCCTTCAGTGGTCCAGTTTCCCTTGCATGGGATTGGAAAGCAATATTTTTCTTTGCTCTATCCACTTATTTTCTTTTACCTTCACTTCTAATCCAATTAAACATGATCAAGTCAGATATTTCGCTGTTACTTATGAATCTCTGTATCAATTTCCTAGTTCTGAACAGGATAATACAGTCACTGAAGTTCCTTGCTTATATCAACTGATTAAAGTTCTCCACAATCATTCTGCTATTGTTTGCTGTATCTTCAACCAACTTGGTGCTAAATTCCCTCCATAAATCTCTCAAAGTTTCTCTCCTTCTTTAAGAAGTTGTGAACCAAGTCTTGTCAAGACCAGAGAGATATTGACTGAGAGTCGTGGCTCAGAGAACAGATACTTAAACAATATTCCAACGACCATAAAATTAGGTCAATTTGCAGTGGTTTCAATTCTCCTTTATTATGGGGCAGGTGATTCATTTGATATGTGAAGTCCATGAAGAACAGGCATTCTCTGTCTGTTCAGACGCATGGCCATCGACGATCAATGTTCATTTACTAAGCTGATTCTAATATCTTTTCATTTGGATTGGTGCTAAGATTTATGTAATTACATCTCTATGAGAGAGGCACAGTAAAGAAATGGCATTCAGCACATCCAGCTAGTACTGGTTCTTTCAAACAGCAAGACAATTAGTTCTACTTCCCTGGCTCTTGCTCCATTTCCGTGATTTTTTTTCTCTCCTTCAAATATTATTCAATTCTTTTTTGAGCCTACCATTGAATCTGTGTCCTCCAACCTATTAGGGACTACATCACAAATCCTAGCCACTCATTGCATAGAAAAAGAAATTTGACATTTTTTTTTCTATTCATTTGTGGGATATGGGTGTTGCTGGCTGGGCCCAGCATTTCTTGTCCATCCCTAGTTGCCCTTGAGTAGGTGATAGTGAACTGCCTTCTTGAACCACTGCAGTCCTCCTGCTGTGGGTTGACCCATAATGCTATTAGGGAGGGAATTCCAGGATTTTAACCCAGCGACAGTGAAGGAACAGCGATATATTTCCAAGTCAGGTTGGTGAGTGGCTTGGAGGGGAACTTGGAGGTGGTGCTGTTTCCATATATCTGCTGCCTTTGTCCTTCTAGAAGGAAGTGGCCGTGGGTTTGGAAGGTGCTGCCTGAGGATCTTTGGTGAATTTCTGCAGTGCATCTTGTAAATCATACACACTGCTGCTACTGAGCGTTGGCGGTGGAGGGAGTGGATGCTTGTGGATGTAATGCCAATCAAGCGGCTGCTTTGTGCTGGATGGTGTCAAGCTTCTTGAGGGTTGTTGGGGCTGCACTCATCCAGGCAAGTGGGGAGTATTCCATCACACTCCTGACTTGTGCCTTGTAGATAGTGGACAGGCTTTGAGGAGTCAGGAGGTAAGTTACTCGCCGCAGTATTCCTATCTGTTAATACTGTCACCAATTTTTATAGATGCACCATAGGAAGCATTCTATCTGGATGTATCATGGCCTGGTGTGGTAAGTGCTCTGCTCGAGATCGTAAGAAACAACAGAGATGTGTGAACACAGCCCAGTTCATTACACAAGTCAACCTTCTATCCATTGACTCCACCGAAAATTCTCGCTACCTCGGGAAGGCGGCCAACATCATCAAAACACCCTTCCCACCCCGGTTATAATCTCTTCCAACCTCTTCCATCAGGCAGAAGGCACAAAAGCTTAAACACACATACCAACTGGTTCAAGAACAGCTTCTTCCCTGCTGTTATTTGACTGCTGAATGGACCTGTCAGATTTTTAATTTAATGTCAATCTCACTCTTTGTGCACCTTCTGTGCAGCCGTAACATTGTATTCCTCACTCTATTCTGTTACCCTTTTGCACTTTGTATGGTATGATCTGCATGGAGAACAAAACTTTTCACTGTACCAAGGTACATGTGACAATAATAAATGGAATTATTAGATACTAAATGCTTTGGGATGGAATAGGAATGAATTTTCTAAAAGGCAAGTCCAAAGATGTGCAGGTTAGGTGGATTGGCCATGCTAAATTGTCTGTAGTATCCAGGGATGTGTAGGCTAGGTGAATTGCCATGGTAAATGCAGTTTACGAGGATAGAGTAAGGGGCTTGGGTATGGGTGGGATGCTCTTCAGAGGGTTGATGCAGACTCAATGGGCTGAAGGTCCTCTTTCCGCATTGTAGGGATTATATAATTCTATTTTCAAAGATGTTTCCAAGAGAATTGAATGTCTTGCACAGAGCAGTTTGAGTGTCCATCAGTAATTAACTGCTGCATGTTCAAGGAACACTGAGTGTAATTTGTGCAGAAGGCACTTGTTCTCTCAGTGCTCAGATACAAACCATACAAACACACCAGGGCCTTTTTCCTGTGGTGCGCAGCTGTATTTGAGCAACTCCATCCAGGTTCAAAATGTGGTTTGAGGCTAATTGGTCTCATAAGTCTGTTCTTGTTGCGACAAATTGCCAACCTTTGTACAATGGAACATTTCTGTCCACAATTTAAGCATGTTGAACTTCTCATATTGAGTCTACTTTCCAAAACTCCAATGCTGACAGGTCAGTTTTTCACATCCACTTGGAGATATTCCATAGCACTGACTATGACCACAGACGAAAGGTCTGTACTTCCCTTTCACAGATTTCTCCTTTCCTTCTGTTCTCTTGCTTCGAGCCTATTTGCTCACTGCTCATTCTGCAATGAGCCTGGAGCCCACTTAATGAGCAGTTTAGCATGTGGTATCACAGCCTAATCCAATGTTATAATAACTGTGTGGGGTGGGGTTGGGCATGTTGCTGCCAGTGATCACGATTCAGTGCAAACTCTAATTACAGAGCAAAAACATGCATTTGTTACAAGGTCAATCCTTTCTGGTTGGGTGTAACAACGAACGAAGCAAAATGAAAGTGCTGTTAAAGTCAGATAGAGGACATGACTGATCGAAACCTAAGTACTTTTATAAGTAAAACTGTGACGCACGGCGGCTCAGTGGTTAGCACTGCTGCCTCACAGCGCCAGGGACCCGAGTTTGATTCCAGCCTCAGACGACTGTCTGTGTGGAGTTTGCACGTTCTCCCCGTGTCTGTGTGGGTTTCCTCCGGGTGCTCCGGTTTCCTCCCACAGTCCAAAGATGCACATGTAGGTGGATTGGCCATGCTAAATTGCCCGTAGTGTTCAGTGATTTGTCGATTAGGTGGGCTGTTGGGGGATAGGTCTGGGTGGGATGCTCTGAGGTGAAGGTGTGGACTTGTTGGGCCGAAGGGCCTGTTTCCACACTGTAGGGATTCTATGATAAAGTAACATCCGAAAAGTTGGAAATATGAGTGTCAGTCAGCAATGCAACTGAGAAGGAAAGATATCCCTGAGGCCTCAAGGAGAAGCCACTTGTGCCTTTTACAGTATTTCAAGTGGATGTCCACGACACCATGGAATTACTTGAAGAACACAATGGCAGTTTATCCCAGCAGGCCCGGGCCTCACCAACCAGATGACTCATTCATCCATTGGTAATTGTGGGGTTTTACTTT